GGCTAGCAGCGCACTGCATGCCTCGCCCACAGCCAAGTGGATGGGATCGTGCGCCAATTTCTGGTCGACGGCGGATTATTATGCGGACGTTGGCGCCTGTGTCAGCCCCATCTCCGTGATGCCGCTGATCAACTCAAATTCCGGCTCGAATTCATTGATTGGCTCGGGATCCCCGCACAAGTCGCGTGGTGGCGCGCCGACAACGCAGGGCAGATCGGGGTCCGCAGCTGGACAGGCGCCACCCGCCTCTCCTTGTGACCAGCACAAGTCGCATTTGACCTTCTCCCCGGCGCAGATGAAGGTCAGCGCCGGTTCGATGCGCAGGGAGCAGGTGATGGCCCACATACCCAAGCAGATTTCCACATTGCCCATTTCAACATCAGTCGTAAGCAGCGGCAGCAGCAGCACAGCACCGCCGACCATGGCCACGAATGCCGCAATACAGCGCCGTAACTCGTCGGCAGTGGATGCTGTACGCAAGGATCTGGGAACGGAGCTGCGCAAGGTGCAATCGTCTGGCCTGGAAGAGGCGAAGGGTACGGCTAAGGGCACCAGTCTATTGACGACTGGCGGCGCCAGCACCAACACCATTAAGCTCGGTCCCGGCATCGGTGGCCTGACCTTCGCCAACAGCGCCACCTACAATAAGCTGAAGCAGCAGACATCGGCAAAGTCTCCCAACGGTGCCCCAATCACCTCCAACGGCAACATTGTGCTGAAGCGCGATCGGGAGGCGAGTCCGCTGCACAATATAACGACGCTGCACGCGAATGGTGTGCAGAGGCGTGGCAATGCACCGAAGAGCATCGCCTCGTCGGCCCATTCGCCGCATCACCAAATGCATGTGCAGAACAGTATTGGCTCGCCATCCTCCACTTCGTCGTCGACAGCTGGACGGCCCAGCACCTCCTCGCCACTGTCATTCGCACCGCTGGGCAACTCCAGCTTCAGCAACGGCAGCAGCAGTGGCATCCACAGCAGCGTCAGCAATAGCAACGGCAGCAACATCGTCAAGCCGCTGCAGCAGAAGGTGAAGTCGGCTGCCATAAGCAGCGCATTCCCAAAGCCCGCCTACTCGTACTCCTGCCTCATTGCACTGGCGCTGAAGAACTCGCGTGCCGGCTCCCTGCCCGTGTCAGAGATTTACAGTTTCCTGTGCCAGCATTTCCCCTACTTTGAGAATGCGCCCAGCGGCTGGAAGAACAGCGTGCGCCACAATTTGTCGCTGAATAAGTGCTTCGAGAAGATTGAGCGGCCGGCAACGAATGGCAATCAGCGAAAGGGTTGCCGCTGGGCCATGAATCCGGAGCGGATCTGCAAGATGGACGAGGAGGTGCAGAAGTGGTCGCGCAAGGATCCTGGAGCAATACGGGGCGCGATGGTCTATCCAGAGCATTTGGAGGCACTCGAGCGAGGCGAAATGAAGCACGGATCGGCTGATTCAGATGTGGAGCTGGATTCGCAGTCTGAAATCGAGGAGTCCTCTGACTTGGAAGAGCACGACTTCGACGATACCATGATCGATGCGATGCTTGTTGAAGAGGAGGACAACGATAACGTTGAGTGAGTCGAGACAAAACAAATAATTATATTCGAATTCATCATAATAGCTTGACTTCCATTTGCAGCTGGGCAAACAGCGAGGATGAAGAGGAGCATGTGATTCATGAGTATGATCCAAACAATCAAGCAGCCAATCACCCGCCAACTGACCATCAGCTGATCGTTTCACAGAAGAACGGAGAATTCGATATTGTGGTAAGGTTGACAGATCTTTGAGTGAATGAACATTATGTTAATTGAAACTTGTGACGCGTTCCTCCGACAGGTTGACGAATTGTACGAAGACATCGACATCGATACTGGGAAGCGGACGGTGCGTCACGGAATAGTCAATGGGCAGACAGCAAGCATAATTGAGCTCAACCCGGCCGATCTAAACGCTAACGATGGCTATCAGTCACCGAAGCGTGCTCGCCTCGACATCAACTACGCCATCGGTCCGGCCGGTGAGCTGGAGCAGCAGTATGGCCAGAAAGTTAAAGTGCAGCAGGTGCATCAGGTCTTGCAGCAGCAGCAACAGCCGCCCACGTACAATCGCCGCAAAATGCCGCTGGTTAATCGCATTATTTAAACAGTCATTCTATATTCATGCATATACCTATGCATATATATGTATATGTTTATATATATATATATATCAAATATGTATATAGAGGTCATACACACTAAGTGTTAGGTTAACGTTTTAGAAATACCAATCAGCTACGCTTAAAACTATTTCTAAGTCAGTTTTTGTATGTGCACAGTGCAGCTTCGACCTAAATGCATATTTGGTCGCGCGCTTTGTATTCATTTCTATGTACATTGAAGGGGGCTTTCAAATAAATGTCTATGTTGCAAGCATTAATTATTAAGATATACGACTTCACATTATATCTGACACAATTAGAAAGTTTTATTAAGATAAATTTGACGCTTGGGCAAAAACTCAAGAAATGCATCTAATAATTTGATAATACTTGTAATTGTTTCAATTCCCGGAATCCAACAATGACGAAACATTAATAGTGTTAATTGTTTTCAAAATCTTGATTATAATGAGCGTCTTTGAAATTGATCTCCAACAAAAAAATTTATATAATTATATATATTAATTACTTTTGACGATTGTTCTCCATAAATTGCCTTTTGGCTACAAAAGCAGTTTAAAAAAATTGTAGAGAAACGGGCAAAAATAACGAATAGAATTTATATTTAAGTACGACTAATCTAAACTTCAGACAACGAAATATCGCTTATAGGTATTTCCACAATTGTTAACTGTACATAAAAATGGCATTTATAAGCATTTTTCAGCGAATTTTCCATATAAACATTTGTGTAGGTAATGTTGAAAACAACCATCCAAAACTTGCCGGTCCAGTATTCGTGTGACAGACGTTGGTAGAACAAGCTGCCAAATATAAATGTTATATACTATATACTATACAAGGTTATTAGAATTTGAATTCTCTAATTATACACAAATGTAGAGTCAATTAAATTTTAAAAATATATCATCATATTGCCCATGTATGTGTATGTAAATAATTTTCTTATGAAAGCAATGTATACTATTTTAGATGTAAATAAAATGTATGTTAATTATAATATAATGATATGCAACCAAAACAACCGCACAACATTGTAAGAATTCCAAACGAATTGTCAAAATTCTCCAATCGAAAAGACTTGAAATCACTTGAGAGCAAATCAACTGCCGAATATTCAGGACTCAGGACCTCAGATTTAAAATACAAAGTACAAACAGTTTTTAAGCTACCTGAAATAAGATCAAATACAATTGTCAATTAACTAAACGATAACAACGATTATCAAACAGTCAGCAGCACCAGTCAATGCGGTCGATTCCATTTAAACATACTTTCCTTTTTCAAGCCAATTCACACATACAGATACAATATTCATGCATACATTTTTGTTGTATTATTCATGATTTATTAGGACCTAAGATATTTTGTATTAGAGTTATAAATATTATATGTAATATATATATATATATAAATATCAAATCACTTTAAGAAAAATAAACAATTTTTGTATAGAGTTGTTAGAAAATCAATATGTACAACACAATTGAAACCAAAAAAA